TCAGGCAGCTGGGCTGCCGGTGGTGGGGGAGCTGGGAAGCCCAGCATGCAGCCCAGCTGGGCTGTGGGGGATTGGAGGGGTGGGAGGCAGGAAACCTGTTACACAGCTCAGCTGCGATACGGGGGAGAGGAGGAGCCAGGAAGCCCAGCACCCGGTTCAGTTGGACTGCAGTGAGGAGGGATGGGGAGCCACGGCCCAGCTGAGCTGCAGGAGTGAGGGAGCCGGGAAGACTGGTGCACAGCTCAGCTAAACTACCTGTGGGAGCCCGGAAACCTCATGGGGTGGCAGGGCACGGGGCAGAGCCGCCAGCAGGAGAACCAGAAATGACCTTCCCTACTTCAGTAAAATCCCTCATCTGAGTCCTGAAGGGGCCAGACTAGGGAGGTCCAACCTAGAGGAGCATTTTACCAGAGTAAGAATACTGGTGACTATATATTTGAGAGAGTCTGTCTGTGTGCTTGTCTGTTTGTTCAAGAACTTCTCCTAAGTGTAAGAGCTAGGACCACCAAATTTGGCATGTAGCTTCCTCTTATTTCCACTTAAAGCAGGGTCAGGGCTTGGTTGTGCCAGGACAATGGGGTGTTCCTGGAATGAGTCTGCTTCTCAAACAATAAAACAAAAGAGACAGAATAATCCAATTAAGTACAGTCCTCAAAATTGATATAACGAAGTGATTGTTGAAAGAAGGCTCAGGGAGGGCAGGGGCTCAGGGCCGGTGTGGAGGAAGCTACCTCTGCCCATGGGCCCCAGCACAGAGCAGACAAAGCAGCTCCATTCTGGGCTGGCAGTGGGACTGTTTGGTAGCTCTGTGCTGGGACCAGCAGTATGGGGCACATACCCCTCACTCCCAGCATTCTGCCCCATGCAGAAGGGGCATCTCTCCCTCAGTCATGGCACCCAACTCCGAGTTGCCTCGGAACTGTCACTGCTGGGGGACAGATGGTCCTTGCGTAGCCCCATCTAGCCTAACCTGGACCCACTCACCTTAATCTGGTGCTTCTCACCTTGCCCCCGAGCTGCTGCAGTGAGAGATGGTTGGGGTTATCTTCTCTCCCTGAGGCAGCCTGCATACTGAACCCCTCATCCCCACCCCAGAGCAATGATTTAAATGAAGCATGGACATTTTCATTTTATTTGTCAAAAAAAATCAAAATTAATTGATTTAAGGACCTGAGCAACACCAGGTAAATCTTCTAGTATATCGGCAAAGTGGTCCTTACGTGTCTTTCCATGGAGTCAGTACAAGCAGGGCGTGGCCTTTAAAATATTAACTGCTGAATGATTTGTGTGTTCTCATTTGCTACTGGTGTGGGAAAGAAATATCTGGATTCCATTGATGCAGGTTAAAGTACTGCAACAATTTGTATCGTAGGGGTGCTGAGAACCACTGAACCGAATTGTAAACCCAGTATCTGATGAAAACCACTTCAAGCCATGGGGTACTGATGAACCCTAGCCCCACTAGCTCTTGCAGTTGTGGGTGCAGGATTTTTTCAACCATGTCTTAACTGGAATTTCAGTCCCAAAAGGTCCTATCTTCTCTATTTCTGTCTGGATATTTTTCTAGATATCTACCATTTTAATATAATCTGTGTGGCTTTAAGTGGTGGATCACATTTACAAAAGGATCATTAGTTTCATTTTTATCTACAGAGAATTCAGGTTTTAAGTTGTTGCTGGTTGGAGCTAAACAATATTCCTCTGAATCCCTTCAAAATCAATAAAACAAGCTGAGATTTCCAGGAAAGACCACATTTATCCACAACTACTTTAGTAGTACTGTAGTACTATGCCGTGTTGATCGGATATATTCTTAGGCACAAATGTGTGCTATTTTTGGCCGTAATTGCTAGATGGCAATAGATATACAGACAGGTGTCTGTGGTGCCTCCCCAAGTACAGTGGTATGTGCACTGTATGTATTCCAGGTACTCCCTGTGCTAGGCAGTTTTACAAGGAATCTTTCAGGATGTTTGACTAGTGTAATATACTAAGTCTTTCAGCAAGTAAAACTTCATTCTTCTTTGAGGACTCAGTGTAGATTTTGTAGCAGTGCTGGCTTTTTTCTGCAGCTTTGTTTTCTCTGATGAAAAGATTTTCAGCATTTCTGAAGATTTTTTGTATTTCTGAGCCCCAAGAAAGGTAAACGCAACTACACATAACTACAGTGCACTCCCCATTGCAGTGCATCCTTCAGTCTTGGAATCAAGCAGCTCCATTGTTATTTCAGGAGGCAGATCTTATGGGATTTCTGCTCAGTAATGTTAGCTGGTTCTTGTTGCCCAGGTGACAGCAAGATGACTCATAGCATTAGGAGGAAGGTAATACCAACACTGATGGTAACATGCATACAGCACTGGGAGATCGGCTCCTAACTGATGAGACTAGCAACAAGGTTAATAGCTTGATCATCACGTTATGTGGTACAGCACATTTGAGGCCCTATATTCAATGAGCATTGGGAATACTTGTGTGCAAACTCATTTTCCTCGAATGGTTCTTCAGTAATTCATTTACATCACACAAAAATAGCAAGAATATTTTCCTTCGTGAATATGTGCTTATTATTTTTCTTCCTTTCTCCTTTTCCTCTGTTTAATCTGTGCAATGGAAAGGATGAAAGCATTTTCTAAATGTTTGACCCAGTAACTTGATTATTGGTACGGTTTATTAATGAGACAGAATCTTCAGAACAAACAAGCAAGTCAGCACAGCTAGGTGCATTGAAAAAGTGCGTTTACATTTTGTTAGAGCTCTCTTTTGATTTTCCAGCCCCCCAACCTACTAGACCCCCAAACCCATCTTGACCAAATATTATATTATTTAATCTTCTTTGTGTATTAAGATTTTACTTAGTTTTATCATCAGTCAATTAGATTTTAAAACTAGATTTAAAACTTGTATTCAGATACATGAAAATATTTGTTTTCTAATAACAGAACGTTTCCAGTATACAGAGCAGTAGAGATAACCATCAGTTACAATTCCTGAATAAAAAATGGAACGTCTTAAACTGTAAATTTTTTCCTCTGTGGTTGCTTTGTTTAGCTTGATTTCTGATGTGAAACTGAATTCAGAATTCCTTAAAGGCACAGAAACAAAGACTTGCTTAGTAATACAGTATGCAGAATTGTGCTGAATGCAACTATAATGTTACTGCATATGATGTCATGACATGCATATATTGCTTGAAACTCTCCAGTGATAATGGCAACTTCATTTTAGAAAAATATATGTTAGTTCCAATCCCATTTTAGTTGCCACCTCTTTTTTTTCCATTGATCAGCAAAGATTAAAATTCTCTGATCAGTAATCCTAGCAGGATTGGTTTTTTTTTAATAGCTTCCATTTTGGTGCAGTGCAGTGCAGACTTTTGGTTTAACTGGCTGAATTGATATTCTGAGCAGCAAGTAAGCAAGGATGACAGAGCATCAGTACAGCTACTCCTATTAGTGCTCAGAGAGGTATGCTTAGTTGTAATTGCCTGCTCTTGTCTAAGAGGCAGCACAGTCACGAAGCACTGCTGTCCTTAGGATACTCCAGAAAAGCTTTCAGCTTTGAGGCATAATGTTTTATACATGCTTTAAGAACCAGATGCATTTTTCTGTGTTTAGTTGCTTTCTGTATAGACTGTATTGTTTCACATGCCAAAAATGAGCTTTAGTTTTTAAAATACAAGACTTGGGCAATGTGAATATTTTGCATGTTTAAAAGACATTTGTAAATATGCCTAGCCTATATATACGCATTGGGGCAAATGAACTCCAGTACTGTATATGTAAAATATAATGTTTTTAAAGGACAGGTGGCTCTCCTTATGCCCTGTAGAAGTTGGATTCTTTTTTCCACAGTAAGTGCTTTAAATGCTTATTATACAGCTATGGCATAACATGTGCTCTAGTTTGTGCCCCCGCACCTGCAGTTCAGTACATTCATGTGTTAATTCCAGAGGTATATTTGTAACTTCCTAAAGATACCACATGGAAAGTAGCTGTCTCAAAAAATATGCAATAATTCCTCAGAAAGTGAAAAGTCGTTATTAACATTTAAGATGGTACAGTTTGAAGAAAACTGCTCCACCCCCAAAAGTATGCTTCTCTCCAATTACTAAAAACGTTTTTCAGCATGAAGCATGAAAGGTGTTCCTATGTTCTAATGAGTCAAAAAAGCTGAACATTACTACCCTAAATGTATTTGGTATTACAATATATGCTAATAAGATCAATTTAAATTACATTTGGCTATATGCTCGTACTGTTTTGGGTGTTAAATCTGTGTACATGCATAGCACTGTGAAATACATACAAATATTGGTGGAGAAATACTGCAGACCCCAAAGCAGAAAACATTTTTCTGGAATAATAGGAATATACAGTATGTATTTGTGTTGTGCTGTTTTTGTTTTTTATACTTTTGCCTGCAAACATTTATTACAGGCAAAATATGATTCTAGGTGAAATAATTTGAAATACAGAAATGTTTATTCAGTTTGCTGTTGAATTTATCCCTAAACAATAATAACAATAAATTAGAAAGCACTTGGCACTATGATCCGAAATTCAGAAAATATCTATGCAACCTGTGTGTGATCACTGTAAAAAAGAAGATAATTTGCTGCTCTCCCTCACCTCTTCTAGTCCCCCTACATGCAGAACCTTCCCCCCCTCCATCTCAAATGATAGTGATAGAACCTGACAGTCCTTGTCCTTGAAGGTTTCTCCCGTTTCGGAGTAAGTGGCATATTCCTGGTAGTTTGCCATCTTCCGTTTTTGTCATTATCCCAAGGGAAGTATTAAAACCACAAACAACAACATGGTGGATCAGTCCATTTTCCTTAGAGAGAAACATTTTCTCCCCTTACTGTAGCTGCTGTTTGCATTCATTCTTCAGCAATATTAACCTGCGAGCAATAAATGTACTTTGCTTGCACTCTGCTAGCAAGATGCTCTGACAGAAATATCAGCTCTGTCCCCCACCTGCTTGGTTAGGAATGGTACAGTCTGCAGAGGGACTCCTGTAATGTAGCTCAGCTTATCAATCCCTTACAGATGCCGAACAGTGATTACTCCGCTGTATAATTGAAATCATTTTGGATTTGTGATGATATCTTAGCCAAGTAAGTAGCGACATCCACAGCATGAAAATAAAAAAATAAGAGTGTTCCCCTTTCTGTTCTGTGCTTGTTTATTTGGCAATTCTTTTTTTTTCTTGGAGGCAGAAGATGATGAGAAAATGGTGTGGAGACTTGGTTTGAGTGATGCATTAGATTTTAGTTCATGTCCTGTGAATCTCTGGAAAGGTAATTGAACTTCTATAGAATATTATATACGAAGAAACAGAAACTGCATGGCAAAAGTAATTCAATGAGATTTTGGAGGTTGAAAGTACAGTGTAGATTTTTCTCTCTTTTTTTAAGTCAAAGTTATAATGATTTTGCTTAAACCAGATATTTAACAATGAGAAAACAATGTGGATGCTTTTATCATTATTGATATTCAAATCTTAGGGATTTTTTAATAGTGCAAGGAATATAGTCTCAAACATAAGAAATACAGAGAGACTTTTTGGCTGAAAAATCAACTAATTTGACTACAATATGTCTGACCTTATCCTAAACAAAAAGTATATACACCTTTTATTTAAAAAGATTCATATCTGCAATGGCTTGTCACAGCTTGTCATAAATTTTCGGTGTGCACTTTTGAAAGTAGAGAAATATTGACATAAAAATCATAGCTTTTTTACAATATGATGGGTTAGCAAATACTGCTACCTATAAAGGAAGGGAATTTCATAGTAATGTCTGGAGTATGGTATAGGGTTTCCTAAAAAAGCCTTTTTGTGGCATGTGATGTAATAGCTATTCTTTTGTACACAGGTCAGATTTTTTTAAAAAAAAATCTTTAATGAATCCTGTGTGGAAAAGCTATATAGATTTCATAAGTATAATGCTTGAACAAAAACCAATCAAACAAACAAAAAAGCGTAAGATTACTGTAGTCTTTGTCCATTATGTAAAGTGAGATTCTGCCTGTTCGATTTCTGGTTCCAGAACTGACAGTTCATCTGTCTGACTGGAACTAAGCAGCAGTCAATCTGTTCTCTAGCCTTTGATTTAGTGACTTTAAGTTGCCCTATACTGTACAAGCTTAGCCAGTTGATTTTTACAATGCACATTGTTACCTTTGAGTGATGAGATGATTATTTAGGCATCCTTGGAACCATTGAATGGTCAGAAGCAGATGCTTAGCCCACTATTGTCTTTACATTCTGGAAGGTAAGTTATGAAGTTGCTAAAAAGGATTGTTCATTCTTCCATAATAAAACTATTCATTTCACCATGCACACTTACACAAGAAGGACTGAGTATTTATCAAGACTTATGATCATTCAGCCTTTTGATTACATCCCTTTACTGATTATATTAAAGGATGAAGAAGCCATTCACCTCAGGAGGGTGTTTGTAAGATAGCAGCTGTGCTCAGTGTGGGAAAAATTGTGCCTTTACTCTTTATTTCTAGAATATTTTGTTAATAATGGATACATGAAGTAGGAGATTGATGAATGGTATTTAAAATAGGAGCATTTTTCTTTATTACTTGGAAAGAAAGCTCACTGGCCTGCTTCATAACACCTTTATGTGGCAAGATGTATTTGATTAGAATTTAATTTTGTGAAAGGTCATCCATTTGCATGACTACCTCTCCTACCTTGCTCCCAAGAACCATTTGACTCAGGTATCTAGCAGGTTTTTGATCACATACAGCTATTAACTTGTTCACATACTTCTTATTGTGGTGGAAATTGCTTCTTGTGGGAAAAAAAGTATTCTGCATTTGCCCTGGAGTGCTGATAAAACAAATAGGTTTGCAAATAACACATGAGAATATGGATTCTATAAAAGTAGTTGTACATTATAATACCAAGGTGCCTGTAGAGATGTGATCTTGGCCTAGCTCATCAGAGTAATGTATTTTTACATTTCCTCTGTAAAGGTCATTTCTTTTCCCTATTGCACATGGAGAGTGGCCGATATCTCCATATTTTATGTAAATAGAAAAAGGTTTTATATTTGTGAATTGATGCAACTTTCGGGGATAGTTTCAAATTTTCATTAATTACAGTTTAGGGAAAACATGGTAAGGTTGAGCTGGACACTACACTGTTCAGTGCTTTCATGTAGTGACTTTTGTAAGTGCATCACTTTCTTCTCCTACCCCCCCCCCCCCGCCCTCA